AAATTTAAATGATACCTCAGTATTCCAAACTATTGTGGTCCCGTCCAATGAACAGGAAGCAAGCATAGTACCACAAGGACTAAATTCTACATAATTCACGCTGTACTTGTGACCATCCAAAGGACTAAATGATTTCTCTTGAAATTTCCTATCTTCCTCGTCTTCCTCGTTTTTTTCAATACTCCATATGCGTACTAATTTATCTCTAAATTAACATACATTTTGATTACCAACAAAATATTTGTCTACGAGATATACATCAAATATTTGTTAACAAACCCTGAACCAGAAGCTATTAAATTATTCCCGTAAAAAGCAACGCCATTGACCGCACCACCATGATCGTCCATCCTTTGAATTAATTTCACTTCATTTCCGAAGGATTCTGCATTCTGTACTACATCTTGCTCGTGTACAGCATTCTAATAAATAAAGAAAAAAAAAAAACCAAAGAATCATTGCGTAACATTAACCACCTTGGGGGCGCACGTTAAAAACAACTTTTGACTTACCTTATCACGTTCATTTAATAATAACTTTGGAGCACCATGTCTTATAAGTTCAGAATCAATAGTTAGGTTTCCCGTTAAGTCCCACACAATAACTGACTTATCGTTAGAACCTAAAGAATTAAAGAATTCTATTATGTGATTGGATTTATATTTTATTGTGATATAAATTAAAAATTAAAAAAAAATCACCAGTAGCTAAAAGATTTCCATCTCTTGAGAATGCGCAGCATGCAACGTATCTGTTATGTCTCGCTAACACGCTGCATATTTTTCCTGTGTTCTATAATCATACAAATGATATTACATTAGATATTAGATATATTAGATTATTGGATATATATATATATATATATAAATAAATTTACCGTTTCCCAAATTATTGCTGTTTTATCAAGACCACTACTAGCAATGTATAATCCGTTGGAACTAAATTTGACGCAAGTTAAGGCACTGCTGTGCTTTTCCATTACCCTGTAAAGATTTATAGTGGCAGAATTTGGCTGAACTTCGCATTTATCTTGAATAACAATGACCTCCCATAGTTTGACGTTGTGATCATTGCCACAGGTAACCAATTGATAAACTTTGGTAAATGGTTCGTTACCTGTACATATATTTTCAATATAAGAATGAATATTCATTTTATTATAATGTGTTTTAAAGAAAAAAAACTAATAAGAGTATGTGTGTGTGTGTGTGTGTGTGTGTGTGAGCATATTATATATTAACCTGTTATTTCTTGTGAAATTGAAAAATCACACGACACTACACCAAGATCATGAGCATCGTCTACCGAGGCAAACACGGTTACTGATTGACTACTATTGGACAAGCTAGAATCGATCATTTCGGCAGTGGAGAATAAATTCATAACGCCAAATGTACATGTTGTTAATAACCAGTTTGAATCTGGTGTAAAACATACCCCTTGCACGGCACTTTCGTGTTTTTGAAATGATCTAAGAAAAAGAAATGAAATGTTTTCAAAAATAATGATGATATGATCTTATTATTAAGAAAATAATGTTCTAATTACGAATATAGTAATAAGACCTTGCCTGATTAAAGTACGATGAATTAAATCCCAAAGACAAATCTGTCCGTTATCACCAGCTGTTACTAACAATGTTGAATCCTGTGAAAATCTGCTAACTCTTACAGATTCACCACCAACTTGTACCATCGTGTGTATCTTCGTTCCCGTCTTTAAAATATATAACAGATTTATTATAAACAATTTGATTTGTCATTTCTTTCTATTTCTTAGAAGATATCTTACCCTTAAATTCCATAACAATGTAGTACCATCTATACTAGAAGAAGCTAGCATAGTTGATTGAGGACTAACTTTGACCGAAGTCACCCCATATTTGTGACCTAAAAGTGGAGAAAAGAAAGCTTCGACGTAGCCCGTACCTTGTTGCCATTCCCAAACCCTTACACGTTTGTCCCTAATCAAAATCATATCAATCTCATTATTATTTATATAATAATACAAATTTATATTTAACTGAAATAAATAATTGAAATTTGAAGGATCGATGAAAAGTTGACTACTATTTACCCCGATCCAGTTACTAGGATACAATCACCAGCAAAATCAACGCTATTTATGTCGCTTGTATGAATCGTTAGGGTTTGTAGAGCTTGTATGTCCTCCATCATGGCAGTCATTGTTATTTGTTCGAGACAGGATTATTACCTTGAATAAAGAATTAATAAAAATTATATATTATTATCGCGTTATTATTATTATTATTATATCTATTTCTTATTTTATGTACAACATCACAAAATGTTGACAGTACTGATAGACACACGTTGAACGATGAGTTATGATAATTATCAAAGCCCTTTTTTGGCTTCTATTCTATTTCAAGTAAATGTGTGTAAACATATCTATATATATGTACTAGTTATATACTACATATACATATTTCGTGAATTATTAAAAGAACGGAAAAATCAATTTTGTTGAAGAAGTATACGCGAAATAGTATAGCTATGAAAGATACTTAATTTTATGTCGTACGAAAATGCTTTCGATCGAATTATTCAAAATTACTTTGATATTTTATTTATTCTTTTTCGTTTCTTTTTATACCAATACTTTCTAAACTAACATATATATATATATATATATATATATATATTAATAAAATAATGAAAATTAAAAAAATAATAATTGTAATAAAAAGATAATGTTTCTAATGACCTTTAACCTTAACAGTTGAAAAGATTCACGGTGCATATACTTACTCGTATGTTTCAATAATAAAGGAGAATGTATTCGACTATCAGTTCTACAGGTGGGAGGCATAATAAAGTATTTCAGCTAAAGACTTTCAAAGTTTCGATCCTTGTCATTGTATTATCATTATTAATAAAAATAAGAAAGAAAGGAAAAAAAGAAACGAAATAAAAAATAAAGAGAATATAACAGATATTTAAACTTTACCGGCCGGAAGTCACGTGGGAAGTAACTTACAAATAAAAATATCTTATTCAATAATTCATTATAATCTCATATAATTATAGTACTCCTTCAAGAAAAATAAATAAATAATAAGTCAATTTTTAAATACTCAACATTTTTGTTACATATTTACTGAAATTACTGACAACTTACAATTAGTTAGAATCATCTTGGATCTGACGATTGATAAGGGTTGAAAAATTACAAGGTTAATATTACGAAAAGAAGAAGAAGAAGAAAAACAATACAATAAACGCAACTAATTTTCTAAATATTTCTTTGAAAAATTAATAATKATTATTATTAATTATTTGTTATTTGTTTTTCTATTATTATATCAATTGTACATAGCAACTTAAATAGCACCACGCACACATTTACTACGTCAATAAAATACCGCTGACGTGTAACGTGTAATATATCGATCGATAATTATTATACACATTGTCAACTTTCTTTGACAAATTATTTACCTGTATGAAATAATAAATTTAATTTTATACCTCTTGTAGATTTATTTTTAAAATAATAATAAAGGATTATAACAAAACAAATATTACATTCCATCTTTCTTTTCATTAACATAAAATGATTAACATTAATAATTAAAGAATAAATATATATCAGAGTAATTACAAAAGTGGTTCAAGTCAAAATTAAAAAAAAAAAATACAAATCAATTCATTATTTATTTCACGTATTTATTAATAAATTTAAATTAAAAATTAATGTAATGTCAAGTTTGACAACGTAGTTCAAAAACGAACCGTTAAATAGTGCTTGTTAATTCGACGTATAAACAAACAAACAAATATTGAAACAATTCATTACAACACTAAATTAAAACAATTAACAACATGTTAAATTAATAACAATTAAATTGAAACAAATATTCGTGAATTTATTGTGTTGAAACTTTACTTTGAAATTGCATAATGTGATTGTTGTTTATTTTGAAAATATTAATTAAAAAGTACACACACGAACTTTTGGTTCACCCTAGTGATAATAATAATAATAATAATACGTAACAATAAAATAAAAAAAAAGATCCTATAAAAAGGTTATTAATATTTTGAATAATACTCACAAATAGAAAAGGCACATGTTGCAGACACTAGAGAGAAAATAAAAATCAAATATTTCGTTGCCACTCTTGTTTATTAATGAACTTTAATAATAAACGTTCATTGTCACAAATAATAAATAATCATTTTAGATAATGTTTATAAACGATATATGATAGAAGAATTCTGTTAATTTTTATTAGAATTAATGAAAAAATTGTTAGGCCCTTTAATAGAATGGAACAATGGGGAAAAAAACAAGACACCCCGAAGAGGGCACCTGTCACAATGAAGTTTTAACGTTAAACGCATGTCCACGTCGAGTCAAACCAGATCGATAATACAGTCGAGGAAATAATAATGGAATAGCCACGACAGATACTATACTTACTTTTTTTTTTTTTTCAATAAACATTTACCGACATGTTTTCACTCAAAACATTATGGGAAGGGATACGCATTCCCTTTTTTTTCTACTTCGACAATTTATTTAGTTTCTTTTTATTTGGTTTTTTTATTTTTTCCCCCGACAGGTATAACAGTAATAATATTATTTGTTTTTCGTTCCTTGGGTATATTGGATTATTAATGTAATTGAATGTAAATATTTGTTAAATGAAAAATTAATTTATTCTTTTTTTCTTCTTCTTTTTCTTCTTCTTCAAATTTCTCTATTTAATTTGTAACTGAAAATAATTATTCGTATGTCGTTCTAGTTTATTGAATTGTTTTTATCGGTCGGTAAGGTAGATTTCTTCTTCACGTGTTGGTAACTTTTCAAATTGTTGCATTGTTATTGTATAGAAATTTGTCGAGAATTTGTTTTTCAATTGATTTAACATATTTATCATGTATACATACGATTGCAATATTTAATAATATTGATCATTTGTAATTTGTGATTTATCGAAAATGTTTTCTATGTGGCGCTAGAATAGTAATTTCTCGAATGTTTTTATCCATTCTTCCTTACTCTTATATACTTTTATTACACTGCTTCTATCTATTGCATTTGTGTTGTTTTTGTTATTTTTTTGTTTAATTTATATATTTCCATGGTGTTGCGCACGTGCGTAACGTAACTGCAAATAAAACTATTTATGTTCAAGTTTCTAACTACACATTATCATTCGAGATGACCACTGAGGAACATCATCATCAACAACAAAACTATTGGACGAAAACTTTGGAGTGCAGGTGGAAAACAAGTTTTTTTTCTCAGCTAAATTTGTAATTGTTAAGAATTGAAAATAGGAATCTAATGCCTTTCGGTAGTAAACCTGAGTGTGTTAATTGTGGGACTCGGGAAACACCACTTTGGCACTCAACCGAATCTGGTAATCTATGCAATGAGTGTCTTGAGAAAAAAAGATCTGCCCAGGCTAATGGTGAAACAAAAAATGAGGAAGACGACAAAAGTGGATTATTAAAACCAATTAGACGTAGTACAAGGATCACGAGGTATTGTAACTCAAAACCGAGTGCACCACATAAGATTGTACCAAAGGGTAAAGGCAGGAGAAACCTGTTTAAGAAAACGGTATAATTCAATATTATCATATTATATTCATTTCATTAATTAATGTGTATCTGTTATCTTTTCTCTCTTTCTTCTTTCTTTTTCTTTTTCATTTTTTCTTTATAAACAAGTTTTGTAAGTATATCCTTTTCTTTTTCATTGTATTTAGCCAGTGAAAGCACCAACCGCCACTGCTACTCCTGTTACAAGCAATTATGTGTTCTATAAAGGTACTTATTTTCAAGTTGGAGATATAGTTTCGATGCAAGATATAGATGGTGGCATTTATTATGCTCAAATACGTGGATTACTAACCGATCAGTATTGTGAGAAGAGTGCTGCTGTAACTTGGTTATTACCAACAACAGCAAGGTATGAGGATTTTGTTTTTTATAATTATGTATTTGGGTTTTTCATATTGTAAGAGGAAATTATTTGATTGTAGTCCACCTCCGGAACAAGGATTTTCACCAGAAACTTATATCGTTGGACCTGAAGAAGATTTACCAAGAAAATTGGAATGTATGGAATTTGTTATGCATGCTCCATCAGATTATTATAAACTCAAAAATACTCCTTATCCTCCACCGTTAATGGAAAAAGGAGTTGGATACGTTTGGACAACTCTGAGAAATGAGATTAACATGTGTAAAAAATGATGATATTCTTAGATCTTATATATTTATCTATATATTAGATAGATATTTTTAATTTTATTATTAAGTAGAAATAATTACCTTTTGATTTTGTAATATTTCTCATTCTGCTCTTAATTTTATTCAGTTAAGCAAAGTTACTTATATAGTTAAGATAAAAATTGAAGATATGTCAGAGAAATGTTTATTAAATATATTTTTATTACATTATAACATGAATGTTTAATTTTTTTAATAATAATCTTATAGAGGGCTGTGTGTTTTTAATAAACAAAATATAAGTATATATTACTATGTGAATAATGGGAGAAATGCAATAGTTTGGTATGTAATAACATAGAGTTAGTGTTGTATGTATGTACCTTCAGAATACACGATACAGGAACAGTATCGAACAGTTTATATATTTCCCCAATTCTAGGGATTAACTGTTTGTTCTCTTTCTATATTGTATAATACAAAATTTGAATATATATATTTATCGAATTTCTGTTAAAGACAGAATGAGACAATTTCGTTTCAGACTTCAATAGATCTGAAATAGAAATTTGTCTTCGAGAATATTCTCGATCAATTCGTATTGATCCTTCTTTGTCGAAAATGATGAATTCAACGCAAAGAAGATAATAATTATTGAAATATAGTTCTTTATACACAGTTTTTTCTTTTTTTTTTTTTAACTCTGATAACGTTGAGACGTAGTGCACGAGGTGTTGGGCAATATCGGTGCATTTTCATTCACTCGAAGGGAAGGAAAGATAATCCTTGATGTGGTATCACTTGTACTTGGGATGGTAGAAGAAAGCAGTCAGCTGGGAGCCAACGAAGTAATGGATGGTCAGAATTTGAGATCTTTTATTGCTTGCGGTAAGTCAGGTAGCTTCATATCCTTTATTTGTTGAGGAATATTCATATTCTTCACTGCTGATACCGCACGCGCTGGCGCAGCTGTGATTCCCGCCTGCACACATTATATGGATGGACAAAATGGAATATGGGCATATGCTTGGGATTAATAAGATAGCAATTCATTTCTAGGAATGAAGACAAGTAATAATAAATAGCTACACAATACATAGTTTTATTTATGGATTATTGGCGACGTATACAATTGCAATAAGGCACTGTCATGGAGCAGACATATATAAACAATAGTATTTATCATGCGTGTTATGAACGGCGTTTTTATGAAGCTATGAAAAAGACGACTTATGTTTGAAATTATTCTTAGTTAACGAAGAAAAAGAAGAAAGATCGAAAATTGAAACAAAACAAAAAAATATCTATAAAAAAGATAGAAGAAATCACAGAGAGACAATTATACATAGGACTGAATTTATTTTTAAGTGGCCAGATTGTCTACTGCTGATTTACTTAAGGAGGGGGCCCCAGAAGGACAAACGGACGAGGTGAGCAAGATCGTCCTGATCTGTAAGTCCCCTAAAATTGATGTTAGCTTGATCAGTCCTACAACCCCACATGAAACTGCTTTACGAAGCATACCAAACATGCATAGGCTACCAATCGACAAATTGCTACAAATAATGAACTATATTTGAAGCTTGGTTAATATTTGTCTATTATTTTCTTATTCCACAATTATTCATTGACTTATTGTATTCTATTCAATATACATATTATATACATACTAAAATGTTAACAGAACAAAGGACAATTATGAACATTAAATCATTAAATACAATACAAAATTCAACAAGTAAATCTCTATAATTTATATAATAAAAATCTATCTTTATAAGAAGTGATATATATTTCCTATCTTAGATTTAATTAAAAAGCATTATGCAGTAACACTATGTTATCATATTATTTGCAATAAGCAATTGTTTAATAATTTGAGCAAAAACAAGAAAACTATAAAAATGAAATAAAAGAAATATTATAATAATAAAACTTACCTCTTGTTTTTCCAATTTGTTTTGATCCTCTATTCTAGTGAGTATTTCAGTCATATTAGTTTCTAATACCATACCACCCATCACTAATTCGTTAAGAATATAATGAACTTTATCGACATGAAATATAAGATCTAATTCGCACACATTTTCAAAACATTTGTCCAATGTTTCAACAAATACTTGTATCAAATCTAGAATACCAAGTTCTGATTCAGAACTGTCAACGCAAAATACAAAATAAAGGGTGGCATAGTGACGATAAATCAATTTATAATCTGATCCTCCTATTAGGCTACCACCTTCCAAAAAGTTACAAACATTATCGTCTCTCTTCGATACAAGTTGAAATGTCTCTTTAATAATCTGTTGTTGCATATCTTCATTCTACAAAAATCAATCAATAATAATGTAAATATAATCTTGAAGAATAATAATTCATTAATTTATCTTTAAATAGACAAAATTCTATATACTTACGAAGTATTGATAAAACTTTGAAAGACGTGGCTTTCCATGGTTATTAAAAACCAAAATAGCTTTAATCATGATGACAAACTTGATCAATTATTTTTTTTTTAATTACATATATATTTTTACAGTAGATTATGTACAATCGTTGTATGTACGTGGAAAATATTATAATAGAAGATTATTAAACAATAGGAACATTACTTATTTTCATTCAATTTCAATTGGAATAAATTTATCATACTATAGTATTTTCAAACTTGACCTCTTTTTACAAAACTATCATTTTTTCATACCGTTAATTAATTCTTATTATAACCTTATACCAACTGAATATATTTTAACCATAAATATATATACGTATATCATTATTATTATTATTATTAACGTATAATAAATGTTATCATTTTTCAGAACTTGTACTATATGTTATTTAATGATTTATCACTGAACTTTGAACTGAAATTCTACAGTAAAATTAAAGCTGTCACATTAATTTCATTTAAAACGTGTATGAATGTAGATCACCACGACGAACAGACAAAATATGAACTGCAAGTCTAATAGAGAAAAAATACTATTCCATTACGTATGTGAGGTTAAGTTACATATGTAACAAAAAATGTTCTGATAAAAAGAGATGCAATACGAGATTTACAGTATAACTGCACTATTAAATAAGGATAAAAGTTTCTTTAAACACGTTAGTAGGATAAAAATCCAATAGATGACGCTTCACAATTGCACTTGTAGCGGTACGACCGATGGTCGCGCCATCTAAGTTACTAGAAGGCTAGGGAACCACGCTAGCAAGTGTGGTCACCAGACGAGTACAGTCTGTGCGTAGCCGTCGAGAAGTGTACAACAAAGAAAAGCAAGTCGCATCCTAACAATAAAGATCATAAAACAAATTCAGTCTAATATTATCTTTACTATAGAGAAACCCTCTACACACTCAAATCTATTGTGTACTTTCATTACATGCAATGCAGTCAGCTGGTCAATGCAAATACCATCCGTGCAGTTGGATATAATAACCTCAAAAATATTTCGCGTTTTCAATTTTGTTTAAAGACAGAGTTAAACATTTTGTATTATTTAAATAGATTATATTAGAAAAATAAAATGTCTAACATCGCAGCACCAAAGGTAAAAATATAACCTAAAAATATTTTCGAACAAATGTAATGTTTTCTTTCAGATTTATTTTATTACTAATGTTATTTTATTTTTAGCCTCCCGGAGTACCATCCGTACAAGAATTTAGTATAAGAGTACCAAAGTAAGTAAATTTAAATTTATTATTACATTAATAATCTATAATTTTATAAAACACAAAAACTCTTTTGTATTATTTGACAGAAACAGTAAGAAGAAACATAATGTGATGCGTTTTAATGCAACATTAAACGTTGATTTTTCTAAATGGAAACAAGTCAAAATGGAACGTGAAAATAATATGAAAGAATACAAAGGTGTAGAAGAAGATATGCCAAAGTATGGAGCTGGATCAGAATTTGGACGAGATGCTAGAGAAGAAGCTAGAAGAAAAAAATTTGGTATTACAAGTAGAAAATATAAGCCGGAAGATCAGCCATGGATTTTAAAGTCAGGTGGAAAGACAGGGAAAAAATTCAAAGGTATACGAGAAGGTGGTATCAGTGAAAATGCTGCGTATTATGTATTTACGCATGCACCTGATGGTGCAATTGAAGCTTTTCCATTACACGAATGGTACAATTTCCAACCTATCCAAAGATACAAGGCACTTAGTGCGGAAGAAGCAGAACAAGAGTTCAGTCGTAGAAACAAAGTAATGAATTATTTTTCATTGATGTTACGTAAAAGAATGAAGAATGACGAGGAAGGTGGAGACGAAGAAGAATTAATAGATGGTGGTAAAGGTAAAAAATCTGCTAAGAAGGATAAAGATTTGAAGATATCAGAAATGGATGAATGGATAGATAGCGATGATGATGATTCAATGAGTGATGAACAAAGTAAGAAAGATTCTGATGAAGAAGATAATAACAAGAAGAAGAAAAAAGGAAAATGTAAGCACATCAAACAAAAATTAGTAAAAATCTATTATCTATCTATCTATCATCTCTTATTTAGAAATTACATAAATTAATATTGTTTTTTTACTTTCAGTGGAAATACTAAAGAAGAAGAAGAAGAAAAATGCATCAGACGATGAAGCATTTGAAGAAAGCGATGACGGTGACGAAGAAGGAAGAGAATGCGACTACATTTCAGATTCGTCTGATTCTGAATCAGAATTGGAACAACAGAAGGAGATCAAATCTGTAGCAGAAGAAGATGCATTAAGAAAATTGCTTGCGTCTGATGACGATGAGGAAGACGAAGAACAAGCAGATAAAAAAGAAGGGGATGAAGATAAAGATGAAAATGAAGAAAACAAGGAAAAGGACGATAAGGTATGATTATTATAAATAATCTATTCCCATATTTTATATAATTATTCTATTCTATGAAATGTTTGTTTGTTTGTTTGTTTGTTTGTTTATTTGTTTATTTAGGATAAAGAAAAAGATGCCGTTGGAAAGAAGGACAAGAAGAAAAAGAAGAAACAGAGCAAAAAGAAGGATACCAAAAAATCTGCACCTGGCAAATCTTCCTCTAGTGATTTTTCAAGTGATTCTGGATCAGAATCTGATACATTAAAAGAGAAGGATATCAAAAAATCAAATAGTGCACACAGTTCAAGATCTGCAACTCCAACATCCGCATTGACCAACACAGCTGATTCATTTAAGAGAAAACAATCAGGTTCCCCTGATTTATCGCAAGCTAAAAAATTAAAATTAGATAACTTTAATCTAGCACAAGTGACTTCTTATATACCTGGCGCCAGGTAAAATTGTTCATCTATATAAATTGAATTTCAAACTGAGATAGATAATAATATAAACAATTTTATTTTATTACAGTGAATCTGGTATTACCGAAGATGCAGTTAGAAGATATCTTATGCGTAAACCAATGACTACAACAGAACTTTTGCAAAAATTCAAATCTAAAAAGACTGGTCTCACATCTGAACAACTTGTTAATATTATGACTCAAATATTAAAGAAGATCAATCCTACTAAACAAACTATTAAGAATAAGATGTATTTATCGATTAAATCTCAATCGAATTAATTATCTGATGAATGAGAATTATTGTATTATATTATATTATATTTTTTAAGCGTATATATCTATTGCTATTTTTAACGAATAATGGTACTACTTTTATACTAGATAGGTGTATATGTTGTTATAATGAGAATATTGTTATATTAACAAATGCATATATTTATTTGGTGAATGCCATTATTTAAAAATAAAAGAAAACAATTTGATTATTAATTTTTATAAAAATCATTTTTTAAGCAAATCAAACATATTTCTTAAGTCTATTATTTATTTTTTAGTTTTTAGTTTTCAAATGACTCTTGATCATGAAAATGAATGAAAAATGATGAATTAAATTTGTAAAAACTTGAGGTCGCGTCAAAATAAAATAAACTAATTAAACTATCGAACATTTGAACAGTTTGACTCCAATTTATAGGAAAAAGAATTTTACTTTGAAAAATATTGCAAACAATATATTGCAACATTGAATAAAACAAACATATAACTGATCAATGATTTGTAATACTTGACTTATCAGAATTTTTTATTTTCTTACTGTAATGAACTCGATGACCTGTAGTGTATCAAAATATTGATATGATTCATGAAAAGCAAGCTAACGTCCTGTTAACTCAAAAATACAATTTTATTGAACGAAAACATTTCTCTTTAGTTAAATCAATCGTTCCTAATGCATATCTTCTTCAATAGTGGATGAAGTGGATGAAGTGGATGAAGAGAGTGTTGTGTATTTTAACAATAATATAAAACTTCTTTTCATTTTTACAAGATATTTCTAGTTAATTATGTGTATGTTAGGACTGTTCAAATTAGACCAGAAATATTTCTTATCGGCTAAATTAATCAATTTTGTAAAACATAATATTATACGTGATACCAGTGTAAGATTTTAATGATTTTCTAGCCAACTATCTATTATACGTACTAGGAGTATATAAATTAATAAAACAAATTCATTTTTAATTGTAGACTATAAAAGGAAAAGTTATAGCAATAAGAAGAGAAGATCAATCAGTATGGGAAAGACGAGCACCATTGGCACCATCAAATGTACGGCGATTAGTCCGAGCAGGTGTAAAAGTGATAGTCCAACCTAGCAATAGAAGAGCATATCCAGTGCAAACTTATCAAGCAGCAGGTGCCTTAGTACAAGAAGATATCAGTTCAGCATCCGTCATTTTTGGTGTCAAACAAGTACCGGTTGATCATTTGATACCTAATAAAACTTATTGCTTCTTTTCGCATACAATAAAAGCGCAAGAAAACAATATGCCATTGTTGGATGCAATTTTGGAAAAAAATATACGCCTATTGGATTATGAAAAATTAACTGATCACAACGGACAAAGGGTAGTAGCATTTGGTAAATATGCTGGGGTTGCTGGTATGGTCAACATATTGCACGGATTAGGACTTAGGCTACTTGCGTTAGGTCACCATACACCATTTATGGTACTATTATTAACAAGTATTTGTTATTGTATTTATGTAATTTATTCTTTAACTGTAGCACTGTAATAATATAATATTTAATACTCTTGTTGAATTCAGCATATTGGACCAGCACACAATTATAGGGATTCAGCAATGGCAAGACAATCTATAAGAGATGCTGGATACGAAATTGCATTGGGTGCAATGCCGAAATCAATCGGACCTTTGACTTTTGTTTTTACGGGTAGTGGTAATGTTAGTCAAGGTGGACAAGAAGTATTTCAAGAACTTCCTCATGAATTTGTACCACCGGAAATGCTTAGAAAAGTTGCAGAACATGGAGGTAATTATTAACAGTTTACTATGTAACAATTCTAATTAGTTTTAATTTAGATGATATGTATATAAATAAATATATTTATTCAGATACCACGAAAATATATGCCTGTGAAGTTAGACGAAGGCATCATTTAGAAAGAAAAGAAGGTGGTGGTTTTGATTCGGATGAATACGTAAAACATCCCGAAAGATATATATCTACATTTAGTAAAAAAATAGCACCTTATACTTCGGTTATAATAAATGGTATTTATTGGGCAGTTGATTCGCCAAAATTATTGACCATACCTGATGCTAAATATTTGTTAAGACCTGCTAATACACCTTGGTTACCTATCAGTGTTGGTGCACCAGCTTTGCCTCATCGAATGTTAGCTATTTGTGATATATCAGCTGATCCCGGTGGCAGTATTGAGTAAGTCAATAAATATCATCATCAGTATATTATAAAAATGAAAAAGAACAAACTACGCGCATATTTTTCACTTCGTTATCAATGTTTTTACAGATTCATGAACGAGTGTACAACGATAGATACACCGTTTTGTCTTTATGATGCTGATCGTAATAAAGATACGAAATCGTTCAAAGGTCCAGGAGTTTTAGTATGTTCGATCGACAATATGCCAACGCAACTTCCCAAAGAATCAACAGACTTTTTTGGTAATCTTTTATATCCATACGCATTAGAAATCATCATGTCGGACGCTAAGAAACCATTAGAGGAACATAATTTCAGTCCAGTAGTCAATGACGCTATTATCGCTTCTAATGGAAAATTAACACCAAATTTCGAATATATTCAAGAACTCCGATTATTGAATAATCGAAGTAAACATAAAGCCGATAATGGAGATAAACAGAATAAAACGGTAATTTATTTATATTCTTTCATTTTAGAAAACAACAATTTTATCTTTTTCCTCATAAAAGATAGAGTTAAAAAATACTTTAGATAAGCAAACGTTTACATAATAAAAAAAGAAGAAGAAGAAGAAGAAGAAGAAGAAGAAGAAGAAGAAGAAGAAGTAATATGAACATTATATAAATAGATTTGAATTTATTTTCTTGTAGGTTGTCATATTAGGTGCTGGACATGTTTCAGCACCAGTCGTTGAATATCTCCACAGGGATAGCAGTATTAAATTGGTGGTAGTATCCCAATTAAAAGATGAAGTTGATCTTTTAGCTAATAGATTTCCCGGTGTTGAACCCATATTTTTAAACGTGCTTGACAAACCAGACACTTTGGAAGATGTTATTGGATCGGCAGACGTTGTTGTATCATTATTACCCTATTCGTTGCATCATGTTATTGCTAAGGCTTGCATCGAGACTAAAACACATTTGGTCACTGCTAGTTACTTGAATGATAATGTTAAATGTCTTCACGATGAGTAAGTATTCATTTTCTTTTCTTCTTTGTTCTTATTTAAAAGAATTATTTTGTTTTGTTTGTTTGTTTGTTTTGTTTTTTTTTTTAGGGCCGTTGCAGCAGGAGTTACTATTTTAAACGAAATAGGTCTGGATCCTGGTATAGATCATTTATTAGCATTGGAATGTTTCGATGATGTAAGACAAGCCGGTGGAAAAATAGAATCATTTGTTTCATGGTGCGGAGGTTTACCTGCACCTGAATGCTCTTGTAATCCTTTACGATACAAATTTAGTTGGTCACCTAGAGGTGCTTTGTTAAACACCTTGGCACCAGCTAAATATCATCGAGATGGTCAGGTATTGAATAAGTACTCTTATTATTGATAATTATCAATGACAACGATTTTAAAAGTAACTCTGATAAATATTCATTTATACAGGAAGTAGAAATATCAGGTGGTGGTGATCTAATGTCAGCTGTACAACCTTTAGATTTTCTTCCTGGATTTGCATTGGAAGGATTCCCTAATCGAGACAGTACCATATATCGAGAACTTTATGGAATTCAAAATGCTAGTACTGTATTACGTGGAACTCTAAGATTCAAGGGATTTTCTGATACCATACAGGCATTGCAATATCTTGGACTTATCGATCCAAATCCTCATCCCATTCTTCATCCAAATGGGCCAGATATTACATGGGTATATACATCTATAGAAAATATATATATATATTTTTTCTTTTTGTTATTTTGTTATAGAAATAAACAAAATAAATATGAAATATTATTTCAGAGAGTATTGATATGCAATTTACTTGGATTGGCAAACGACAAGATATTTTTTGAGAATCTCAAACGAAAAATAGCTGAACGAGTGAATTCGGAGGAACGTGTACAAGCTATCGAAGATTTAGGATTATTAGAAGAAAATGTAGTTTTCAAATTGAATACGCCATTGGACACATTAACACATTATCTTTCGAAGAAACTTTTTTATGAGAAAAACGAACGTGATCTCGTTATACTAAGACACGATATTGGTATATTGTGGCCTGACAATAGAAGAGAAACTAAAGGAATTAATTTGGTATTGTATGGGGATGCAACTACGGGACATTCTGCCATGGCTCGTACGGTTGGATATCCTGCTGCCATTGCTGTTAAAATGATTCTAGATGGTACGTAATTATAATCGATTTATTTCTTTATTGTGTTTATAATGGAATGATATGATTTCAGGTGAAATTCAACAAAGAGGTATGGTATTACCATTCACACCTGACATTTATCGACCCATACTTCAACGTCTTAGAGCAGAAGGTGTCGAATCTTTTGAAACTTCCAAATGGTTGTAAACAAAATATTTCTTTGACAAAATTAATGACAATAAAATATTAACAAGAAAAAGAACAATAAAAGAGAGAAATATGAAATATCCAAAAAGACATAATAATTGGGGAGTTATTTTTATATAACGCCAAAGTACCTTTGATTTATTTTCACTTGGAGCATTGTTTAATCATTGACAAAAAGTGGAATTATTTCTGTTTTTAATTACAAACGAATTGCTCTTTATCTCTCTGGCAGCTAAAAATCTTACAATTAATGACTTAGCAATTGTTTTGTTTTTTTTCTTCTTCTTCTCTTACAACATTACAACATATATCTCATATCGGAGATTACGTATTATAAATACATTTAATTCGAGGGTGTTTAATATGTGTCTATGTGTATGTTTCTCTGTGTGTGTGTGTGTGCGTTTGTGTGTGTACGTGTGTGCTTTTATCTATCTAACCAACGAACATTTCTATTGAATCCTATAGTCAAACTTTTGTACGCGTAACAACAATGATTTTATCAGACAATGATATTTTTCTAATGTAATACAATGTTATGTTTATGTATTTAATTATATTCGATAATTATATTGTTAGATGCTATAACAAACGCGGATGATAAAATATAGAACAAAGAAGAATTTTGAAACAGTATAAAACAACAAAAGATAGACAAATTTCTTTCCAACAAACGCAACGCAACGCAACGCAACACAGTGTTTTCATTTTATCTACAAAATATTTTCTTCACAACTCTCTCTATCTCTCACTTTTGTCCATTCATTATAATCTTTTTTTGTTTAACATTCTCGTTTAATCATTGGAAATATTTTACATAAAATTGGCAGTATGACACGGTGAATATGCATTTTAGAGTTACGACCTGCATAAAGAATGATTAAAAATGAGATTATGGTATCTCATCGATGATAATAAATTATACGATATTGATTTAACTATTTTTTTTCTTTTTTCTTTTTTTTCTATTTTTTTGTAATTTTTTTTACCATAAAAACATATCCCACACTTTATCATCTCTTTCCTTCTCTTTTTTTTTCTCTCTCTCTCTCTTTTTCAACAATTATTTTTATATTGTTATGAATTATTGTTATGAATATATTAACGCATTATTTAACAATCAACTATTGCGAATGGCAAATAGCAAATGTCTTTCTAAGATTATTATTATTATTATTATTATTACCAGTATTAAAATTGAGCTAATATTATTATAATATATTATACTTATGTTTTGTTGTTGTTAATTTAATGTAATTATTCATTAATTTATTTCCTACGGGAGAGCTCCCTAAAACAATCGTCACTTACCAACCCAACGATATTATTAAAAGCATTTATAAACTATTACATAACTATTAAAAACTTTCTTCCTAGAAGAAAGATTAAATAGTGATTGACTTATGTATAGTTAGAAAAAAGCTTTTTTTCCTATTAACGATTGTATTTCATGAGCTTCTTTCTTTTTTATTATTATTATTATTCTCGTCACACACATATGTTGTTTTATATATTTTTCTTCCCTTACGACAAGAGATTATCACTTTTATTTAATTGATCAGTATTTTATTTTCAATATTTTCAAGCAAATAATACTTTTGTTAAATAAATGATTAATAAAAAAATGTTTAAAATACTGACCTAATAAATAACAGCTCACACGATCTCACACGATCATGAACGAGGTATCCTAAAGTATTATTATTATTATTATTATTAACTTTTTTCTTTAATATAATTAGTAATATATAATCCATAATCGTAACGCGGCTAATTAATTATATATATATAAGTACAGTTATTATAATAAATATTTTTTAAAGCCTCAATTAATTTTTTTGTTTTAACGGACAAATGTTAAATCTAAATTTCATCCTAAATATCTAAAGAGATTAGAATGCGAATCGATTAATTTTCTCTTTTGTCGATTGTTATTGATCATCATCATTATTATTATATAAACTACGACGACATATCTTCTTCTTTTTCTTGTACTAATTAATTTATAATCTTTTTTTACTTTTTTTAAAATTTTCTTTTTCATTACTCATGCTAAAAACGTGACTAAACGCATGCTCACTTTTGTTTTCCTAATGATTTTTAAGATAGACAGATATCTATATCGTTCACAGTTGTTATACACGAATAATAACACGTATGAAAAAATGAAATGTTTAAATAAATCATTATTAGATCAAGCGTTATGTTGTTTTTTTTTTTTTTTTCAATTAATAAACGTGAGAGAGGCTTCTTTACAAAGGATAATTACATGGAGTATTATATGAATATGTATGTCATTTGAAATCATTTCGATACGACTGTGTGTAATATGTGTATATATTAATTGATTATATATTTGCATAACTTTTTTTTATGTATGCCTTTTATTTATTTAATTATTTTTTTTTTTGTTCAACCATAAAAGAACACAGTCGATGGAACTTTCGTATGATTTTACTTTATTTTATATTGATTTAATTTCTTATTTATCTTTTTTTGTTTTGTTTTTTTTTTCTGTTTTTGTTTACTTAGTGCTTTTCCGAGAATATGAGATTTGCAAATAATAAGAAAAACATTATAAAAAATATATTGTGCAGTGACCGTAGAAGACACCGCATCAACAACAAGGACCATATTTCTTTAGCCGTAGTAGATCATTCTTATACATGCCGTATTTTTTATTCATTAATATTAATATTATTATTAATATTATTATTTGTGTTTAGAGTTTCTTCTTTTTTTTTCTTTTTTTTCTTAACTTCCAATAATATTACAATGAAAAATTTGACAATTAATATTTTGAGAATAATAATGAGAGTTATTATCACATTTAATAATTGAATTCTTGTCTTATGTTTTTCTTCTTCTCATCCTTAATTCATTGACTTATTATAATGCGGATTCTTTTTTTAATTCATAAATCTTGACACGCTCACCTGTTAGTAAGTAAGTTCTTAAGAAGCATGTCGATCATTATTTTCTCATCTTTCACTTATACCCAAACAAAATTATTGCATTTTTCAATCAGTTCATTCAAAATGACACAACAATATATAAACGTATAATAACAATAATTAACATTTTTATTTTATAACATTTTGTAGTTTCATTCATTTAGTATTTGTATTGTATTTTAAGCAGCATTCATCAAAGTATAGAACTTTTCTTTATATATCACTGATTAGTATGTAGTATGTATGTGTATGTAAGTGAGTTTGAAATTATACATTTGTTTGTTTGTTTAAATACACATACATCTTGAAAAGTTTGAATTTTTTTCCTGAATTAAAAATGCGTGCAATAACAAATATTTGTCAATATTGTTTGTAATTGTTCAAAATTAGATCAATTTCATAATCACTGGCATTATCATCATATTTACCATCATGTCGCTTTACTTTTTTTTCTTTTTTTTTTCTTTTTTTTTTTTTTTATATAGTACCACATCTTATATATATATATAGATATATTTGGTAATTGATTTGTGTCTTTTTAAAGTGCAAATATAAAAAATTGGTATTTTTGTAAAACTTAAAAATAATATAGTCAATTGGCATTGAAAAGTATAATAATTACGGCCCGGAATTATTTTCAATTATTTTGATTTCAGAATTATCTCGAATATATTTTGTACTTTTGGACAGTACACATATTTTCTTATTAATGATTATTTTGTTCTTGTTCTTTTGTAATACTTGATTGCAGAGACACGAATAAGGTGGGTAGTGTATTTGATGTGATTAATAATGTAATGTTATTTTTGAAATATATATAATATATATATATATAATATGTAATTCCTCATTATGTATGTAAGCTCGATACGCTGGCATAAAAATGTGCTACTTTCGATGCTGTGTGTTGTTTTATTTTTCTCGTTGTCCATAGTAACGCACGTTGTTAGTAGTATATTATAGTTTAATAGCATCGCACGTTTTATCTTGATCCCCGTTAAGACACTACGGCAAAAAATGCTTAGAGATCGATACGGAGTTTAAATAAAAACAAACAAACAAACAAACAAACTATTGACGCCATTGATTTTAGTAGTAATATGAATTATTTCTTTCTTTTCTTATTTCAAATAGATGCTTATTTTGCCAATAAATTATAAATGGTGATGAGAAAAGGCATCGTTGTGATGACAACTGTCTTATGTAAAGTATAAATAAGACATTGGTTTTTTTTTGTTTTTTGAAGAAGTTTTTTGAAGTTTTTTGAAGTTTTTCAATGAATCCATGCACACATTATACGAAACAAATTCAAGTTTTCAGAAAAATTGTAAGTAAATCAATTTTTTATAACTTATAAATGAATGTGAAATAATATATATAATTATTTAATATATTTATATATAAATGGAATTTATGATTCAGCTTATTCTTGTGTAAACACATTTTTTTCCCTTTTATATACACAATTGTAATAATTCTCATCTTTATAAATTGCAATATTGCATTATTGGACAGTCTTAGCGAATGAATGATTTTTAAATAGACACGTGAGAATAAAATACATTTGTGAAATAATTAGATCAAAGAATTTTCTAATTTCAATCTAATGTCAATTGATGACGTATTATTTCACAAATGTATATTTATAAAAGTATGAATCCAGTGGCAGTACTAGCGATACAAACATTTCCATCAGAATCCGTAGGATGTGTATGTATATGAGTCTCTGTGTGTGTGTGTGTGTGTTATTTTTTGTTACATTGAAAATAATTATGCAATTATTAAATACACTAATTAAAATCGTATGCTACATGTTATGTTTATACATAAAAAAAAACATTGCAGACAAAATTTAACTATACGTATGAAATAGGTGATTAAACCTATATTAAAATTATTTGTTTCTTTCCATTTTTACGTATTACAATTCTAATTACAATAACTTGGTGTTTAGTCTCGACATCGATTTTTGTTTTTTTGTTTTTTTTTTTTTTGATAATCAATGCTCTTTCATTAATTAATTTGATAATTTTATTTATTTATTTATTTATTTATTTATATTTCTTGCCTTCTCACTCTGTGCGATTTTTTTTATTTAATTCATTTAATCGTTATAATTATTATTATTATTATTATTATTATTAGTAGCACAAGCTTGAAAATATTCATTTTTGACTTTACTAAATAGGTACATTTATTTATTTCTTTATTTTTGTTTGCTCATAATCTGTCCCGAACAAAAATTAACAACAACCCTCATAGGAATTTTTTATCTTTCTTTCTTTCCTTTTGTTTTTGTTTTTTTTTATTTATTTTTGTTTTAACTTTTTATTTTAGTTTAGATAAGGATATGTGCAGTCGTAATACAATCACATAGATTATCTAATCCGATAAATAGAATAATTTTAAAATCGAATTTTATCTATGGATCACATTAATACAAAAAATACAAACAAAAATAATTAATCTATTGATTTATTTACTTTGTTTTTTTTTTTTTTTTATGAATGAAACGTATTTAAAAAGAAGAAAAATTAAAAGAAACGTCTCTATTGCTATATTTCTTCTTATCGAAAAGCATTAATCAATATTTTCTACGATTGTTTTATGATTTTTATTAATTTATGGATTTTAAAAAGTAAATACCATATGATTTCTATATACGGAAATGTTACTAAGATTATATTCTATACTTACTTCTTCTTTAGTTTTTCTAAGATCGATATTTGGAAGATTTTTGATATAATTCTAATAATCTAATTCTCATTAGAGAGTTGCGTGTACCACATACACCGCCGAGTGTTGTGTTCAACGATTGTTTCTTTTCATTTATAATGTTTCTGATTTTTCTTTTTCACATTTAAGCAGTACATTGTCAATGTTTACTTTGTTATTTCTTTCTTCTGTTGATTTATTTATAATAATAATACTTAAGAGAGATTCTCATGAGATTGGAACATGAATTGCTTTGATGGCGATTTGGCACCTTTTTTTCTTTCATTTTATTCCTATTTATTACTATTAATATTATTATTATTATTATTATTATTACGTTTCTTTTCGTAGGAATATTTTTTAATAAATTATTCAACAATGTTTATTTCTTACTCTCACTCATCAGTTCTTTTCTATTCATTTTTCTGCGTCTTTTTTTTCTGAATGAAACGCTTTGTTAATAAATAATTAACAAAACGATTTACCTTACGAATCTATTTATCTAGTTTTTCAAAGTTCCTTTTTTCTTCTTCTTCTATTTAATATATCCTAGTATTTTCTTCAATCACACTCGTGTGTTCTTCTTACTTGCTTACTTCGTTCGAGTTATTTCTCATTTTTTGCAAGTTTAGTCTCTTACCTCCTTTTTTCTTTTTTCCTTTTTTTCTTTGTCTTTTTCTTGTTCTTGTTATTTGTTTATTAACGTTTCGTCAAACGTGTATTTGATTATATTTCATTGCACTGGAGGCAGTTGCAGTTGTTGTTAAGTCGTCTGAAAAAAGGAAGAATGAAAAAAAGAAAGATTTGAGCAATATAATTAATAGCATAATTATTTCAAGATTGTCGTACCCTTTAACAAAACAGAGGAGCTTCAGGTTGATTCCACCAATGAGCTGCCAAAAGTAAATAAAGTTCTTGATCCTGTACAGTATATCCTGGTGGTGGTTGCGAGGGTAAAGGCGGAGGTATCGGTGGTAACAAGGAATAAGAAGGTGGTGGTGGTGATGGCGACAGAGATTGCGAAAATGTTGTTGAAAGCGGTGTTGAAAGCGGTGTTGAAAGCGGTGTTGGCGGTGTTGTAGGCGGTGTTGCTTGTGTCGTTTGTGCTATTGCATTTCTTCCAGAGACATTGTCCTCCGACTTTTCCTCCGACTTTTCCTCATCTGCCGGAGATCAAAGCGCACTGTCGAATATTGCTAATGACTTGGTGATCACGTCATCCTAAAAACAAACCGTAACAAACGAAAAGATAATATTTCTAAAATTAACCTGAACAAAAATCAATGTCATCGTTTGTGTAATACCTTTAGACAACTCTCGATGAATTCCTCGATAGTTATAACGCCATCCTGATTAAGATCTAATTTCTTGAAAACCCTATCCAATTGTTCCCTAGCTTTTCTCTCTTCTTCAGCATGATGTCTTCTACCCATTAGTTCGTGTACTGCCGTAACCATTTCCCCTAATTCGCCTCTTGTGATGCAACCATCCCCATTGATGTCGTACAATTTGAAGGTCCATCTTAATTTTTCATAAATACTACCACGCAAAAGGGTCGACAGGGTTACCAAAAGATCCTAAGGAAATATTATTAACGTTTATTTAAGTGAAGAGGGAAGGATGGATATTTACTACTTCATCGTTTTTTCAATTACCCTGAAGCTGATGGCACCGTTACAGTTAACGTCGAAAGCCTTGAATACGTAGTGAGCGTAGAGGCTGGAGTCTGCAATTCGCATGAGGGGTCGCCATTAACTAATTTACGCAAAAATCGTATCTCATATATAATTGGAACTCACTGCCATGTGGGAAGAATTTTGCGTATATATCCTTGAAGGAGTCCTCGTGAACCAAGCCTTCCGGGCATTCCTGAAAGTAAACGAACAAAATAAACGACAGTACCAAAAAACAACCTTTTATTATACTCTCTCTCTCTCTCTCTGTGTGAGTGTTTGTTTGTGTAGGTCTACTCAAATTATTAATCTACTCTAGGACCCTTCTAACACTAACTCTACTATCCTTATTTACTTTTCCAATGTAGGTAAAAAAAAAAGGTAGCAGCTTCTTTTGATATCTTCAAAAATATCGCTCATAAATTAAGCGATCCGTACAACGGAACTTTCTCGTTAGGCTAATTGGTGACACGAAAGTCTCTCTCATCTAAACGAGTTTTCCTCTACTTCGTCATTACGATTTGCCCCCACTGCTACAAATTTTATATATATATAAAAGTAAGTATACTCCTAGTAATTTTGCTACTTCATTTTTTATTTTTTTTTTTTTTTTTTTTTTACACAGACACACAAAATTCAAAATAAATAATAATTTTGTTTAGGTGAGAAATATATTTGAAGAAGATTAGAAAAATGAGAATACCGCATACAATTAGTAAAAATATTTTCAAAGCTTACAAGTAATTAATCTAATTAGCACAATTTGTTATTTTTCATAAGTTTATAGATTATATCATTTTATGTAGATGTTCGACGGAAAGCACTTTATTGCCATACGAACAAAGAAGAAATATACGTTCGGAAGATTTCAAATGGGACAAAGGCATTGTACCAGAATTAAAAATACTTGCACTTAATGTTATAGCATCGACATGGAAAAATAAACCTATACTCGATGAATTACCAAGTTGTATGGATAGAATTTTTCTTTTAGAAACATTGCCTACCAATCTTCCCTTTGAATTAACTATTAGCAACATTTCTGACGAACATTATTGGGAACGTGCTGCTAAAGACAGGTTGTTAATCATTTTTCTTCTTTTTCTTTTCTAAGAGAAATTAATTGCAAGTCGAAAATGTAGAATAATCAAATCATCATCAAATTATTCATATTCTCATATTTATTCATATTACTAGATGGTCATACAATAATCCAATTGATCATGGCAAATCATGGAGAAGATTATACTGCGAACGTCACTTGGCCGAGTATCTGGAAAATTTCGAAGCAAGTTACTTTGAATCGCAGAAAGATGAATGTATAAAACTTGTTAAACTTGTTAGCGAGCACGTGCGTATCTTGAAATTGCGTGCTTTAAAACCTACCAAGTGAGTGCAACACGAAAGAAGGTGCCAACGAATAATATGTATATATATATATATATATATATCTTTTTGACTGAACAACTTTTCATCCTCTCTCACATTTACACAATATTTCTCAAGATTATTAATAGAGAAACTTGTTCTCGGGCTCTTGGCTAAAATCGTCTCAACGTTTGCACTTGAAGCTAAAGACGAACTTACATATTCCAATTATTACAAATCATTCCACTTTACGTAGTATTTTTAGAAGATGAAGAGTCACAATTCTCATTTTTATCAATATAAAATATAATAATAATTAATGATATATTTACAGTATATTTCAATAAATTAGAAACAATGTTATATAGTTTGGATGGAGCTTTTTTTGAGAAATATCATTTTTAGAAAAGCTTCGACCACATTATCGATCGATGGTCCAGATTCGAACGATGACGATGATGTAGTTGAACATATTCCCATGTCGATAATCTTACCACAATTACCACACCTAACTGAAATGTCCTTGAACATAGGCATGATATATCTGAACGATGGTTTCGAATGGAGAGATTTTCAGTAAGTATAATAATAGTTAATTAGAGAGAGAGAGAGAGAGAGAGAGAGAGATTCACGAAAATAACATTTAACAACAATCTTAATGAATTCATTAAAATATATTTGAATTTTGAAGATTTTCAGTGCAAGATTGTTCGAATCTTGGCGAAGGATTGAAAGCTTGCAGTAATCTACGAAAATTCAGTTTGACGAGAAGTAATTTAGATCGTGTCAGGGTTGCTACTATTCTTCAGAAACTAATTCGAAATAAAAATGTTAATGTCAAATTATTATAACAATTAAATAACATTCTGTAAGTGCATCTGAGAACATGATAATTGACATAAAAAGGATGATTTAATTCCATATCAAGTTCTTTCATGTATTTACGGAATTGCAAAATGCACTAATTTGTTTGACAACTATATTGATTTTTTTTGTTTTTTTTTTGTTTTTTTTTTTTTAAATAGATTAAAGAATTGGATTTCTCTCATTGCAAGTTAGGTGACTCGGGTGCACAAGCAGTAGCTGAATTTTTATCATTACACGGACAACTGCAAGTTCTTCATTTGGCCAATAACAATATCGGTGAAAACGGTGTATCCGGTATAGTTTACTCGTTATTGAAAAAAAATGAAACGAGTTTGAGGCACCTTAATTTAAGATTGAATCCTTTGGGCGATGCCGGTGGTTCTCACATTTGTGCACGTAAGTAAACAATAAATATAATATACAAAAAAAAAAGGTGAGAAGACGATAATTAATTTCAAGCACAAATTTGCTGCAAGAGTCCATTTGAAAGTTTGACACTTGGAAAATATTGTAGACATTGCATATGCGTTTATATGACATAATAAGAATGATGTTTATGTTCGTTTGAAGTGCTGTTGAGAAACAACCACGTAGAGATTCTAAATGTCAGCAGTTGCGAATTGAGCTCAGACATTGGAGAAGCAATAGCCGAGATATTCGAGTCTACGGATATAAATGTCACTTCGTTGGAGATTGATCTGTCAAACAACAATTTTGGTCCAATAGGTGAATCGAAGATTTTCTATGAGAACATTTGATTGACTTGACATTTTTATTCAAATACATTAATCACATTATAGATACATTATTAATTGTGTCATCTAAATATATTTATTTCAACTATTTCTTTTTAATAAACGTCACTCATTTCTTTCTTTACAGTTGGCAAAATGTTTGAAAAAGTTATTCAAACGAATAAGAACATTTTCAAATTAGATACACGAATGTGCAATTTTACAAAGGAATCCGAATACTCCATATGGAAAAGTATACTTAGGTCAGTGTTAATATTACGTTTGAAAATCCTACTCTTCCAATGTTATTTTTCTTTTTCAAATATATATACGTTGATTAAAAATTAATTATCAATCAAATTGGTCATGTGAATAAGTAAATTCCTCCCATTTCTTCATTCAAACAAATTTGAGTAAAAGTATAATAGCACATTAGTTAGTTTCAAAGATAAATTTTGTTTAAGCGACACGAGGAAATGGAAGTTGAGCGTTTTTTTTCTTTTTCTTCTTTTTTTCGTCGACGTCGACGTCGACGTCGACGTCGACGTCGACGAAGCTCAACGTCGTTTCTTCTTGCAATATTCATGAATATCGATCCTCTTTCTCTCTCTCTCTCTCTCTCTCTCTGTTGAATTCGTTGGCATCGGAACGCGTGGATCTAATCGAGCACGAGCTGGGGAATCAACCAAACGAAAATAGAACAAAATTTACACGAACGACTAGTAAAAGGAAAACAACAATTCATTTTGCTGTTAAAACAAAAAAGAAAAAAAAGAAAAAAAAGAAAAAAAAGAAATAGGATTGATCGGTAGGCTCTAAATGCGTTATAATAAATTGATCCAATAATAACTGTGTTGTTTTCCTGAAAAAAAAAAAAAGAAGAAAAAAAAAGAAGAAAAAAAAGAAAGTTCTTATCTCGTGGCATATTTTTGGCTAAAGGCCAAATTTGAAGAAGAAGAATTTATTATCTTTGGAATATTTTCTTCTTCGAGATTTCAACAAAAGAAAGTCAAAGACCTTTATTTTTCGATGATTCAACAAAAATAAAACTATCTATGCATAGTATAATGTTATGTGGTGTATATTTTCTGCAGGAGGAACAAAAAAAAAAGAGGAAAAGATAGAGCATCGTTGAGTATTTCGCAAAGAGGTACCACCCTACGCTCGTTATCACCTTCGAAATACTTGCAAGAAGAGAAAGGAAAAGAAAAAGAGGACATCGTTTTAGCTGAAGGTAATAATCCATCGATCAGATTGTAGCTTTCATTTTTAATCATACATTATATTTTCTCTCTCTCTCTCTCTCTCTATATATATATATATAGATGAAACTGCAACCATAAAGACGATATTACCTCCTCGAATCTACAGTGAACCTATCTTTGAAGAAAACTAATCAATGATGATACCGACTACTTCCTATTATAAATACGAATAAATACGAATATATATATGTATATAAATGTTAGACGAAGTACTGTGCACGCGATCACGTCAAATTAAATTCCACTATAGAAGAATAGCAAATTACCCAGGTGTATGAAGCGAGATACGATAAATCTGTAAAGTTCGCTGATCAAGATGACCTTTTCCTACTGATTTCGATCGACATTAGACAATTAACGATAACGATTTAACGATAAACTACAAATACTTCAATATATATTTATATATATATAACTTTAATGCGAAGTAGTAACCCGTACGTAAATTTTGTGAATTGCATTAAAATTCAAGCCCTTCTTCAATATATCTCGATTCTAACATAAATGGAGAGAGTTAGGCTAGTTTCAAAATAAACGGCTCATATATACTCATATATTCTTCCTTATTTAAATATATGTTCAAATAGATATATATATATATAAGGTAAAAGGAAAGGTATATGAAAAGTATATGCCGTAATCGATAACTCTACGAATTTCCATGTATCGACCATCCCCATCACCATCACCATCACCACTAGCACTAGCACTAGCACTACCAACTCGAGCTGCAAATATAAATTCGTAGTACAACGTGCCCTTATTTCTTGTGCCCATTCTTAAGATATTCTCAAAAGCGTGCACGTAATAGCAGCACGTAATAGCAGCACGTAATAGCACGTAAACCCATAGCTTACTTAGATTTTCGATGCGTGACACATAAATATTAAGATTAGTGCACAAATAATGACTATTTTTAAGTTATTTATTGTAATACACACACTTCACAAGTATTATATTGCTTTTCAAATATCATCTTACTGTGGAATTAAAAGAACAACCAAAAATAATAGATTTGTTCAGAAACCTATTGAATTTATTATTTACCTACTTAAATAATAGCTCGATGACGAAATAATGAATTTAATTAATTAATTAAACCCAATCTGCAATATTATCAAATATACATTTTATGAAGAAATGTTTTCTTGTATAATTAAATGAAATAAGTAAGACAAATGTAATGGTAAATAAAAGCTTATTTTTAAGATACTCTTTGTAATGAAATACCAAGGGGACTTAGTAATTGATAATTAACCCTTTCATTATTGAACGAAAAACCGTGGGGAAAAGTGTGGCACACACGTTGCGTTGCTTTTTGGGGCTAGCCTTTGCTTTTTTTCCCGCATTTACGAAATATATTTTCTTTTTTAATAAGAATATAAAAAAACTTTTAATCCCATTATTCTGTTGTACGTACCTTGCTTGGGGTCTACTTCCGTTACTTGATATTTATTTACAACGATGAATAAAAATAACCATATTATGGCAAAGAATAATTAAAACAACACAAAAACAGAGAGAAACAGAGAGAAGAATTTCGTTTCGCGAAACGAAACGATATGCAATAATATTCCATTGCTAATGGTTGGAATATAAAAACCAGAAGTAAATTCGGTGTGAACGTAAATGTGTGTACTAAAATAAAAATATCTCGTTACGACGTTGAAAGAAATTACAAAGAAAATGACTACAGAAAACTATTTAAAAAAGAGTAAAATGTAAAATTGGAACGTAGCCCATCTCATCACCACCCCACGTATTTACGTATTATTTGAGAAATTCTTCGTCTTAAGAAAAATAATAGAAAAGATGAAAAACGAAAAGTATAAAAATCGATATCTTTTAACAAATGTACAACATTTGAAATGCATCTCTTTTCTTTTTTCCAAGTAATTGTAATACTTACTGTGGTGTGTTCAAACGTTCACAGATTTTCTATTATAAAGGAGGTAACTATTGTAGTATATGTAAAGTACTTTTTGTATTACTTACACATACACATAAACGCACGCACGCGCGTGCGCGTGCACACACACACACACACTATTTATGTATATATATATATAAATGTTATCGTCGGGTTAACGAACGTTCGATCGATGTGTGGATATGTGCAACGGGAAAAGATAGGTGAAAGAGAGAAGGATAAGTGGGAGATGCAATCAGGTGAGGGGTTGGGGTGGGTACGAGGGGGTGGTTGAAAGTATGAGTAGATGATAAGAGGGAGGATCAAAAGAAGCAATCGTTGCCGGAGTTGAAAGACGCGCTTTGACTTTTTACGTGAAAAAAAAAAAGAAAAAAAAAAAGAAAAAAAAGAAAAAAACCTACAGCTCTGCCTTGCCTTTCCTTTCCTTTCTTCTATCCAACCGTCCTCTTTTCTTTTCTTTTTTTTTTCTTCTTTGTTTTCTACTTTCTTTTTTTATTTACAACACCACCACCACCACCACTAACCCTTATTCACTCTTTTATATGGCATATTCATATTTTCTTCCCATTATTTTCTCTATTTTTAAATCGTTTTCCATTATACTAGTCTATTCACGAATTATTCTGCTTAGAAATGAATGTGTTTTGTTTCATTTGTAATATATAATAATAATAATAAGATTGTGTATTATAATAATGTAACTTTTTACATGCGAGGAAAAGAAAATAATACTAAAGCTAAGAAAATACTTGGGAAAATAATTGAGGAAAATTATATTAGAGTACTCTCTCTCTCTCTCTCTTTGCTTTGGAGTGGTTAGTCAAAAAGTATTCATTCGTAGGGAAAGAAAGAAAGAAAGAAACAAAGAAAAAAAGGAATATAAATTTGAAAGAAGTAATGTTCATTTGAAATTGTATACTGGCCAAATAAATATCAAACTAATATTGAGAAATAAAATAAGAAAAAATGACGTTGAAGTGTGCAGCTTGAAGAAGGGGTTAGAAGTTCAAAGTAGTAGAGAAAAGGGAAATAGTGAAAAGAATTATTATAGAAGAGTTGAGGGGTTAGTTGTGATGAGGAAAGAAGGGTTAGAAGAATGTAAGAGAAGAGATAATCAGAAGAAGTGAGAAAACTTATGTACCTGCTTGAAGCCTCGATACATAACACGAATCTCTTGCCTCGAGAACTTGGTCTGTCTGAGTAGTTCCTCGAGGGCTACCGGTCTTGTGGTTTGTTGTCTCGCCCTCGTACTCTCGAACTCGAAAAGAGCCTCTTCCGGTCCCGGCGAGTCCGGTGGTGTCGCCATGACCTTTCTTTTTATTTTATTTCTATTGTTTTTCTTTTCTATATATCGCTTCCCTTGTTCTATCCTTTTCTTTTTTTCTTTATAAATTATGTTATATCATAATTTGATGATTATTCGTCTTTTTGATCGCCATCGAAGAAGACAACAAATCGTTCGAGTATGCGAGTTTTATTGTTTCTTTGCTTTTCTAATTGTTGTTAAATTTGTAATGTTAGTATTTCATATAGTATTCCTCCCTCTTTCGTGTGTGGCATCTTTAATTATTCCCTCGTATCGATCTCTTCATTGCGGTTGACCTCCGTGATGACCTCTGAAAGATTGATTCTCATCGATGCTCGTAATATGGCGTTAATATCTTTTCGAAAAAAAAAAAAGGGAAAAAAAAGGAAAAAAAAAAGTTGGAAAAAAAGGGAAAAAAAGAATTAAAAATCTATAATGCATATAGAACTTATGATCGATCGTATAAAAGCAAGCGTGTGTAAGAATGTTCCTTAAAGTATGTATATATACACACACATCATACACACATAGTTATCTATTTCTTTCTATATGGCATGACCCTAATATCTGTGTATACACACGAGGAGAATGAAGAAAGCACGGGGAAAGAGAAAGATGAAAGAAAACATGGTCGAGCCTTAATCCTGACCGCGGACAAATAAAAATGCGAAGGGAGAAATAGTTGGTGAACCGTAAATAACACGGGTGCCAATAAATTCTATTCGTTTGTTCTCTTATTTTCTCTCATATGTTTTTCTTTCTTTCTTTTTATGTATACCGTCGTCATACTACGCAAATCTAAATAAAATATAAATTGGTATAATCTGTTAATCGATTTATCACAAACTGGAATCGACACTAATGTAATCAAAAAAAAAAAAAAAAAAAAAAAAAAAAAAACGTACGATTCTATTTTTAACAAATCTTTTAAATTACATAGGAAAACATTTTTCAAAATGTAACCTTACAAATAAAATATCATTACGACGAGCTTTAAATGTGTCACGTTCAAACACTAATTTGACTATCGCAATATTATTCCGTAACAAAACATATTTTTAAATATAATAATTATTTTACTTTGATTTTTTTTGTCAAACGATTTCATTGACATTTTATTTGTTTTCTTTGTCTTTGTTATTTTTAGTCGTTTAATTGTCTGTTTTATTAAAAAAAATGACAAATAAATTGTGAACACGGGAAATATGGAGAGAACACAAGGATTACACGTGCGTTATGCGTTCATTGAGCGATCATCGGAGTTCATGGCCGAAACATTTATGACTGTAAAAGACGCCTCGAGTCACGCTGCCTATATGTGTGTGTGTGTGTGTGCGTGTGTGTGTGCGTCGTGTGTGTATATATATATATATTATTTATAAATATATACAAAAGTAAAACACATTTTAAGCTTAATACCGAAAAATGGTGGTGTCGAATCGTTAATCAATTGACGTCATACAAAAATAATAACAAAATATTAATTAGATGATAATTTAGAAAATTTGTAAATCTGATAAAAGACTACAATTCTAATGATTCAAATTATTATTATTATTATTAATATGATATAAAAAAAAATAAGGAATATAATAAAGAAATAAAAATAAATGTAAAATTATTTGAAGTAATTGAATGCCATGATAATATAACAGAATGGAATTTAACGAACCACGTACCTGCGCAAAGATAGATGGAATTTCTCTCTTGACTCCTCTTCACACTCTCGCCCTCTCTTCTTCTATCTTGTAATATATATTACACTTCCTTTCACGATAAAGACTACTATCTTCTAAATTATTAATTGCAGAAGAAGAATCGATCTTCTCTTCCCTTCGACATTGTTACCATCATCTTGTTTTTTATCACTATAATTCTCAATTTGATAACAATTCACAAATCACTTTTCTCTCTCTCTCTCTCTCTCTCTCTCTCTCTTTCTATTTCTACTTCTATTTTTATGTCTATTTCTATTACACTTTATCACTGTATACTAAAAGAGAGGAGCTATGAACGATCAAATTTATTCAAGTTCATTCAATAATAGTAATAATAAGAATAATAATGATAATAATTAAAAAACATGATTAATAAAGAATAAACAAAGGATCAAATTCTTCTTATTCCTCTTCTTTTTTTACTTCCTTCTTCTTTCTTCTTTACTATAAATCGATTCGTCACATACGATTGAGAATATGTATCGCGTTAGTTTGAATGGGGAAAAAAAAAATGTTCACTAATTTTCACAACCACTCTTTTTTTCGAATTGAATTCTATCGAATTGATCAAAGAGACAGGAGAGAAAGAAGATTATTAAACGACGTGTCGAGGATGTCGAAAGGAAGAAAAAAAAAAAAAAGAATCTCCTTCGAATTAAAAGGAGAATATAATTAAAAATACACACCAACCAATCGACTACGCGGCCGGCGGTACACTGACTGCCCGGGTAGAGCGCGCCGTACGACGTTTCCCCCNCCACCGCGCGTCTCACTCATTACGCTGAATCGACCAATCAACGTTGCCGCTTCGTTTCGCCGCTTACTTCACGCTTAAATCGAACCCTTAACTCGATAACCAATCGCTATCGAATCTCATTCCTCGTTCTAACGTTTTATTTTGTATCGTTGATTATACAGAAAAGCCTGAATGATAAATAAGTGAAAATTGTTTAATTTATTTCCAATTTTAATCGAAATCAAAGTATTCTTCGATTATTTTAAGCTAATTTCATGTATGAAACATATATTTCTTTTCTTTTTTTTTCAATATAAAGTATGAATTTAACAGCTTATTATTATATACATATATATATATATAGATATATAGATAAATAGATATATTTATAACACATTGCTATGATATATACGATAGAGTAAAGTAAAAGTGATTAGTATAATGAATATAGATGAACGTAAACTAATTATAAATAATGATTTATATATTATGTTAGTAAGAAACTACGTTATATTACATGCAGGAACATGTATTTATTCGTTTCTATTTTCGTAGCGCATATAACAATAGAAGACATTCTTTTATTTGTAGGAAAGAAAAAATGGATTTGCAATTGTTAAAAAGTAAATTTCGTGGATCGATGTTAGGTGTTTTGATGGGTGATTGTCTTGGCGCTCCTTATGAAAATGAAGAACTTTTATCGAAAGGTTCTAAACTTGTCTTGGAAAAATCTTTTAACAAGTTAGAAAGTCCTGTCAAATTTAAAGGTTAGCAAATTCCATTGAATCCAAATTGAATAATTGAAGTTTGACATAAGTTTGATATATATATATTGTTTTTTATTCAGCACCTGTCATGCAGTATACAGATGACTCGGCTATGACAAAATGTGTAGCTGAATCGTTAATTGAAAAAAAGGATATAGACCTGATTGATTTGGCGAAAAGATTTGTTAAATGCTATTATCTGGAACCGTTTCGTGGTTACGGACCAGGTGTTATAACCGTTTTTCATAAATTACGTGGTAATAAATTTCAAGACGTTTTACATCCTGCAAAGGAACAATTCAACGGCCAAGGTTCTTGGGGTAACGGTGGTGCAATGCGTATAGCACCAGTTTCATTATTTTCTTTTCAAAATTATGACAAACTCCTAGATCTAACTAGGAGAGCGACAGAGATTACGCATACTCATAAAACTGGCATAGACGGTGCTATTTTACAGGTATTTCTCATGATGAAATGAAATAAAAATAAATCAATCTTGCAATCAGATCTCTGCAAGAATCTAACTACTCACTTGATCATTTGATCTTTTAGGCACTTGCTATTCAACAATGTCTCGGTTTGAATCCAAAAGATGGATTGAATGTATCTCATTTTCTTAAAGAGCTTATTGACAAAATGGATAAAATAGAGGAAGACGAGGAAGGGTAAGTTGTTGCTGTTGTAGAAATAGAATGCGAAACGATTATCCGCAACATCACACACAATGTATGACGTTTCATACATTTCTTCTTATAGTTTAGATTTAGATGAACCACAACCTTATAAATTGAAATTAGAAACGATGCAAGATTTCATTACCTCAGAAAAAGATTTAAATGATGATCTAGTCATTCGATTATTTGGTAATAGTATCGCTGCTCTTCATTCTGTACCTACAGCAATATTTTGTTTCTTAAGAGCTCAACAGCCCATTAAAGACATAGAAACCGACAATCCACTTAGAAGGGCTATACAGTATGCCGTAAGTTAATATTATTCTATAATTACAACACACACACACACAACTTACATATGATTAATTTGAATTATATATACATGGGTGAGATGATACATTTTTCAGATTACATTAGGCGGAGACACGGATACTATTGGTAGCATGACAGGTGCTTTGGCAGGTGCTTTTTATGGTGAAGATTATTTTAATTCTAATCTTATGGAACATTGTGAAGCATCAAAGGAATTTGCACATCTTGGTGAAAAACTACTTGATGCAACATTAAACCAATAAATCAAATGTATAATATACATCTGTATATAGGTAATGTTTGTTGTTCAAGAATTGTTTCATTTCTTTGATATTTGTAATATTCAATGTATATAAGATTGTCTTATTGAATAAAAAATGTTGTCTAAACAACGGAGAAAATATTGAAGAAAGATTTGTAGTTCGCCTCTTTGTCGTATGAGCGCTCTACTTTCGCGGTTCGCCTCATCGAAATATATGTAACAAAGTATAAAACGTTTCGTTGTTTTCTTCACAGCTTAAACTCTTAAGGACGTTGACAACATATTATTTATCTAATTACGCGTAAATGTTTATTATTACATAAAGAAAAGTTTGAATGTAAATCAAATTTCATCATATTTGTTCAGTGATTTTACATGAGAATTGTATGTATAAATTCTCAACACGTTTACACAGTTAAACGAACATATACTATGTTCAAAAAAGTAAATATTATTTACTGTACTATTATAATTAATTGTTAAATCAAATTGTTGGTTATTACTGAAATAAATCCCCATGGACTTGGAAACTCGTCGAAAAAATTCCGAAAAGGGGTAATTTCTTAGGATATATTATTGAATTGTTAATGATTCATTGTAACATAACCTTAAAAACAAGATATTCACATTAATATTTAGTTTCTCATGGTAGATTTAATATTAATTAGATATTTATTTGTACTATCTAGTTTTGATACTGACGATGATTCGGAATATGCTTTGATACAACGTATCAAAATGGAACCCGAAGCAATATTATCCCAAGATGATGATTTAATGGCACAATTTCAACAGGATAATTCTGATTTGGAAGTTGAACCAAGTTTTTCTTTAGAAGGTAGTATCAATAGCGACGATTATGATGGTATATTGATGCAACACATGGATATCAGAGAACCTTTATCCAAATTGAGAAATCTTTTGGAACAAAGGTTAGGAGGAGATCTTACGGATTATGATTTTTGGTTGCAAGATGCACAAATGGTAAACAAATCAGTAAACGAACCTCCTATTATATTATATTATATTACATTATATTACATTATTTGTTCCTTTAGAATGTTAATTGTGTTAAATATTATTTACAGCTTGAATGTCACAAAAATTTGGTTGATCAATGCGTACAAGGTGAAGGTCTTGTTCAAGTTAACGTTCAAATCAAAACTGTACAAAAGCGTATTAATATTGTAGATGTTTTAAAACCTGCTGAAGATTACATCGAACTTGCTGAGAATAACAGTTAAGTACAAATGTTAACTTTGAATCCGAGTATTTGAGAAATAATTGGAATATTTCGATTGCAGCTGGGGCATCTTATAATGAAGAAAAACAAAATGTCATGAAATGGATGGTAGATCCATTGTATAAAAAAGAACAGGAACGCCTGAAGATACCAAATGATCCTGTTGATTGGTCGATAGCACACGTTAAGCATTGGCTTCAATGGGCGGTCAGACAATTCAATTTAGTTTCCTTGCGTTTAGCCGATTGGAATATAACCGGTGAACAATTGTGTAATCTCACCCTTCAAGATTTTCAAACTAAAGTACCACTTGATCCTGGTGATGTATTTTGGACACATTTGGAATTATTAAAAAAATGTAAATTTGTCGGTAAGTCAATTAGGGGTAGCAAGAAGATATATATTTAGTTTGAATATTTTCTTTAAACAAACATCTACATGTGAACAACATGTTAATATATATTTTTGTTTCCTTTTTCTTTCAATAGCTATTATACAAAAAGATACTCCATCATCGGCAAATGAAAGTAATGCGAGCAACAAAACAATGAAAGTACGTAGTCAAAAGAGTCCTAAAACAACAAGGCCAAATAATATTATTAATCAACAAACAAGAATAGTCCACGTACCATTGGAAAACATTGATTCGACACCAATTACGATAGCAACATCATCAAGTCGTTCTGTTAATAGCGGACAAATACAATTATGGCAATTTTTATTGGAATTATTGACAGATCGTGAACACAAAAGTTCTATACAATGGGTTGGAACGGAAGGAGAATTTAAATTAACCCAACCGGAAACTGTTGCACAGTTATGGGGTGCGCGTAAAAATAAACCGTCTATGAATTATGAAAAATTAAGTCGAGCCTTACGTTATTATTATGATGGTGATATGATATCTAAAGTTCATGGAAAAAGATTCGTTTATAAATTCGTTTGCGATTTGAAACAATTATTAGGTTATTCTGCTGCCGAATTAAGTAAATTAGTCGAAGAAGGTAAACGTTATTATGATTAGATTTTTCTATAATACATTTACGTATTTTAATTATTACGACGGAGTTGTGTCTTTTTTTTTTTTTTCTTTTATAATGTCAAGTAATTATTCATCATTTGTCATAATTGTACTTGGGTATATATTCAATTAACATATCTACCCAAAGTATACTGTCTGTCAAAGTAATCGAGTAAATAAACAATAACTTTTTCTCTTTTTTATCCTTTTTAACCATATTTTCAACAACTTATCAAATGTAATATAATGTAAAATGTATCAGCAAGAAAAAATATTCACAACGAAAGACTTTTTAATAATGTAAATGATAATATCGAAATACTATATGATGGATGGATGGATGGATGGTATGCCTAATTTATATTATTATTATTATTATTATTATTATTAGACTATCACAATTACTGGATCATAAATATATGTATATAAAATACATAAATACACAAATATAATGTATTTTGATATTCGACAAAATATCAAGATTTATTGTTAAGAAATAAACTAACTGTTATATATTTTCTTGCTTAAATTAATCATATTATCTATGAAATGTTATTTTATATTATACACGCATAGTTACTTACTTTCTTCATTATTTTACACGTATTCATATAAAACAAGTATTTTTACTAATATTTCAACATTTAACTGGGGATGATACAATTACATAATAGAAAATTACAGAAAATATATTTTCAACAGAATTTGGTCAGCTGCTAAAATAAATATATCTATCATTTAAGTATCATTCAACAAAATGGCGGCGCGTATAATAAGAAGAATAAATATAGTAATGTTACAAGAGAATCTCATAAAATATCATAACAAATATTTATAACAATTTAATATATTATATTTATTCGTATTTTTCTTCTAATTAAATTTATTTCATTTACAAATGATCTTTTTTATTTTGTACAAATATGATATTATAACATTAAAAGTGTCGCAAAATGAGTCCCGTATAAAACTATATGTGTGATATGTATGTGATGATAATGATGATGATGTGTGTGTGTGGGGTGGGGGGAGGGGGGGGGGTTTATTAGTGTGTGCTAATCGATGGCCAGACCATTTTCTTAGATTTTTCTTTATCTGTCGTTTTAAAACTGACTTTTGATTGACAAAAGGCAGCACTCATCGCCAATACCAGAGAATCTAGCCTGTGAGATATCGGACGCGACGTCACAAGTTAGGGTCTCAGGGAACCGGCGACGCGGCAGGCTTTACTATCAGCCCGCCCGCCATTGCCCTTTTTCTTATTTCGTTAGATGTATACAAATATATATACACATATTTGATGTATATATATATATATATATATATATATACTTATTCATCCACTTTTCGTTTGTGTAATTTTTTTTAGAGCTTCGAAAATATTCTAATAAATTATTAAATATGAAATTATTATTCATAATAGAATGTGTTATTATGTGTCTGTTAAATACATACAAGTTATATCTATATTGTTTATGTTCAACCAAAACTTCATTAATTAATATTTTATGGGAACAATGGGAATTATTAATGAAATACAAAAAATACATTTTTAAATCAAGTTTGTCGATATATAAGTCAGATTTTGGGTTGAAATGTGTAATTATAGTTTATTGGGTTATTGGGTTATTGGGTTGAACATAAACGCGATATATATTATGAACAAGAAGAACTGACTACATGTAAAGTTGAAACTACCGTAATCGTATTCTCTTATTTTCAAGTATTACTTATTTAACAAGTAGTAGTAGCATCGCTTACGTAGGCATTATCCAGTAATTTACTCGGTCATGTTAAAATTGCTCGTCGAAGTAATCGACGACGAACGGACGGACGGATGTAGGGTGTTTCAATCTGGAGACGTCTACCATTGTCACATCCAAATTAATGAAAAACGGTGAACGATGAAATTGTATATAACTAGAGCATTGTAATTATATTAATATAAGTAGTAATAGTAGGAGTTTGTCGTCCTTATAATTTGTCAGTTGTGTGTGATATCCTCTTCGTCGAGACGCCGACGACCGGGAAAGTTAGCAAGTTGTACAGTGGACTTCGTATATCGCGAATTTCCATTCCCTACTATACAACCTACTACCTCACCCAGGCGCCGCCGCTGGAACAAAATAATATTATTCTATACAATTCGTGTGTGTGTTCTCACTATCTTCCTTGATCTTTCTTCATCTTTCTTCATCTTTCTTCAACTGGCGACATTCTTCTATACTTATATACTTATAAATAAATCACGTATTACACTTTCAAGTTATCATGGATTAATATTATTATTATATAACGCATTCAAATCACATTCCTTTTCTTTTTATTTCTCTCTCGCAGTACACAACATTATCAAATATTCTTTTTATAAATATATTTAATTATTTAAAAGCACTGCTCGCTGCTCATGAACTTGTACTTTTTCATTTACGAACAACACACCTAAATATTTCATAAATCCGTAATATAATGAAGTAATATATTCATTCGATGCGTAACAATAATTATGAAAGTTTTGGAGAAAATAGACAAAATAAATAAAAAGGAAGATGGGCTAGTGTAATTGTCAGGGTTTCTGACACACATTTTCATTTAGATCTTAATATATGTCCTCTTAAACTTTACCTTACCCCGAGGTTACGTATAATGTGTGCGGTTACGTATGTTGCGCGTGCATATTCAATGTATCCGGTATGCACTAGCCAAGAAAACAAATAAACAAAAGGATAAAAGAAAGCAAACAAAAGTAAAATAGGAGGAGTAGCATGATCCGCTTTCATTTCCCCCATTTTTTTCTTTTCTCTCTCTCTCTCATACTTTTATTTTTCACACTTTCTGTGTGTGTCTCTATTTCTGTTTTTTTTTGGGGGGGGGGGATTTTTGCAATAATAACCGGAAATGCAGTAAGCCCCCATTATCATTTTGAAGGTTACAAAGAGAGAAGAAAACATTTGGGAGGAGGAGGAAGAAGAAGAAGAAGAAGAAGAAGAAGAAGAAGAAGAAGAAGAACGGGTCCACCATTCCGAGAGCTTTTTTTTTTAACGCCGGCCTGACTACATGTACCGGTAGATAGGAGCTTGCGGTATGCATATAAAAAAGCCCACAAGTTCGGATCTACGGGTTAGTGTCATCAAGTATAGCTGATAACCCTTTATTTTCCATAAACGATGATTGAACTCTCTCATTGGAAGAATGTTTCTCTCTCTCTCTCTCTCTCTCTCTCTCTCTCTCTCTCTCATTTTCTTTCTTTTTATCTATATCTCTTTATCTTTTATCTTTTGTTTTTTGTTTTTGTTTTTGTTTGTTTTTTTTTAATTTTTCTTTCTTCTTTGGCGGGAATCCGATTTATTCGAAAATAATAATCATTTGTCCTCCTCCCAGAATAATCCATTTATTTCTTTCCTTCTCTTTTCTTGTTTCTTTCATGTGGTACACCTGAAAAATAGAAAATAAATTCAATTAGATATTTTTCTTGTATAGATATGATTTAAAAATAAACATAAGAAAAAAGTAGTCTAGTAAAAATTGTGTTGTAATATGTGTAATATAAAGGTAAGCTTAAAACGAAAGGTTTAACACGTAGAGATTTGAAAATATTTCTCTCTGAGGAATTATTATCTCTTAAATGCAACCACTTGTTGAAATGGGCTTTTCGGATAAATTAAAATACTACGTCAAATACATATCAAAATATATTAACTATAACAATCATTGAATGATTAAACATATAAGTAATGTATTTATTTGATAAAATGATCTAGGTTAAATTAACCCTCATTTCTATTTGAGAGAATCAAAGAAGAAACATTATTATTACGTATGAATACATGAATAAAAGTAATACTCAACCAGCTCTCTACACATACACACACGCATATACTCATAAACAAATATACACACTTAAGAAAAATATCATTAATTAATCATTGAAACAAATCAAAATATTCATTAAAAAAATAAACAAGAAAAATACACAAGTTTAACAAATAGTTTAAAAAGAAATATCTAAACGTTTTAAGTATAAATTCTTGCGGAAGAGGTCGTTCTCGTTTTCAGGGCCGTATAAGAAGGTTAGGTTAGCGAGTGCACAATCTTTCATGACGGCAATGATGGTCTGTCTGATTGCAGCTGCAGCAGAGCAGCAGCAGCAGCAGCAGCAGCATCAGTGTGCTCGTGTAATAGTAATAGTATAGTAGAGTAGTAGTAGTAGTAGTAGTATTAGTAATAGTAGTAGTAATAGTAGTAGTAGTGTTGTAAAGAAGGTTAGGGCAGAGTGCACGAAAGATTTTCCTCCCTACAGAAAGCGTCTGGGATTTCATTGCGTCGCGAAACTACAACGACAACGACACACAACCAACGAACAACGACGACGACAACGATGAAACGTAATCGCAGGGGCGTTTAATTTGGGTGCATTCGTTTATAAAAAAAAAAAAAACAAGCAAAAGGGGGGACGAGAAGTAATAGTCTTTAATAGTAGTAGTATAGTAATAACGATGAGTAGTAATAAAGTAGTGTAGTAGTAGTAGTAGTAGTATAGTGCGATGAAAGATAAGTTGAAGAAAAAAAAAAGAAAAAACACAAGAGTCGAAGAGGGAGTTCAGGGCTATGGGGAGGGGAGAAGGGAGCAGAGGAATTGTTTGGCGGTGGGTGGGTGGTTGGTTGGGGGAAGGGGGCTGAGTTAAGGGTTTTAGGGGGATAGACGACGGATGGGCCAGAAGATCTCGGGGACTCCACCACCACCACCACCACCGCCATATTATATTTAGCGAGATACAACTACTACTACAACACTACTACTACTATAGAGGCTCGTGTGAATGAACTATACGTCGTCCCAGGGACGAACCTTCCCATCCTATTTCCCCTCCCCCAAGCGATCGTTGCATCCAAACTCCCTCCCCCTTTCTTTCCTACTGCTCGCTTGCTCCGTAGCTCGATGCAATTCGTCGGTCTCCTTCCTTCTCTTCCGTGCACAGTTAGTAGTTGAACCAACGGATCGGCATCCTCGACAACACAACTTTTCTAACTGGCCGACGCTATCGGCGAATCGTTTCTTTTCATTTGCTCTATTATTATTATTATTATTATTATTATTATTATTTATTTTTCATTTACTTCATACTTTTTTTTTTCTAACTTTAGATTATCAATGAAATCTTTTGTATTAATCAAATTATAACCTCAAAATCTAAGTGGAAGAAATGAAGGATGATTATAGATGATTGATCTTTCCCCCACACA